ATTATTATGATAGAAATATTAACTGGTCGAAGACCTTACGATGGTTACAATTTTGATGCCGAATTTGCGGCAATGATTTGTCATGGATTACGACCTGAATTTATTATGAAGACTCCAAATTGTTATATTAAATTAGCCAAACAATGCATTAGTTCAGATATAAAGAATAGACCTACGGCTATTAAGATTCTTAGCAAACTTAAAAAATGGGAAAGCATCATGGCAGCCAATAATAGTAACGTTAAATCAAATATGAAAAAAAGATTTAAGGTTGTTGGGATTTTTGATAAACTTAAAAAATGGAATAAAATTATAATTAATGATAATAATGTCAAATTAGACAAACAATGTATTGAATCAGATGAAGAGATCAAACGGCAATTTTTAGAAGCTGATAAGTCAATCACAGAATTGCCAAACACCACACAAAAACATGATAATATTATATATATTTCTAAATTTATTGATACAAAAGAAATCGTTTCAGAGATTGAAAATTTTAGAATTAATCAATAGCGTAAAAATCCAAGAGATCTGTATTGATAATATTGATAACAATTTAATTTTTTATAAATAACAAGATTAAAGGACGTATTATATATTGAGAGTGTGTATAATTTATAACAAACATCATAGTTAAAGTAGTAATTATTTTATATTTATTATAAAACGTACCTATGGGTTTTTGTACCTATTATAAGTTTTTATTACAGTCAGACCTTTCTAAGTGCACCCTCTATAAGTGCACATCCTCTCTAAATTCACACTCAAACTTTGGTCTTGACCTCTATAAATGTATCTTTTCTTATTATTCTCTAAATACACGTTAAAGCGTATCCCGTGATGTGCACTCAGAGGTTGACTGTAGAAGGTCCAGTTGGATATAAATTACCGTAATATGATTTTTATATATGCAAATTTTAAGTTTTAATATAATAATATTTATTCCTGGCCCATAAAGCACTTGATCGAATGCTCGAAACTTATAATAAACAAAGAAAAACAAACGGAGCTTGAAGAATTGTATGACTGCTAAATTGAAAATCAGAACTTTTATTGCAATGAACATAGTGCACCATTGCCAAGTGTTTTATTATTTTATTATTCCATAAGAATGCATGATACCAATAATGTTTAAAATTAAATTTGTATTTGTACTAAGAACTTTCAATAATTTTTTTTATTCTTTTTGTATCAAGTTATTGCATTCAAGCTTTAGAGAATTTAGATTAGTGTTTATTCTAAGGATTTTTATTATTTCATTATTAATAGTTCCATAAAGGTTTCAAATTTTGAGCTTATTACATTTTTGCAAAAACATTTTGATCAACAAAATACAAAAATTATAGTTATTTCTAAAATTTTACTGTGCTTAAATAATACTATTTATAAAGAGGATAACCAAGCCATTTTTGATACCAAGATTAAAGTATTGCTTAAATAGAAATAGTATAAGCTGCATATTCAGATAATGCTTTGAAAATTTCGAAAACTAGTTTAATGTAGGTATATTAATGTAGGTATATTAAAAAACTCGTGGATAAATTGTTTTTGTTCCTTGATGTTGAATGATAAAAAATATACCGTTACAATCCTTTCATAAATGAAATAATCCAGCGGTTTATTCCACAATAGTGATATTGCAATTCACATAGTGGTATACCATTAACGATTTACAAGAAGGCACGAAAATAAGCTTCCATAAGATTTTCATTGGTCGCTGAAATAATCAATTATTTCATAAAAACATTCATTCGGCAGTTGCTCAAATATTCTAAAATTTATGAGGTTGTTAAATACGTGTTATTATAAAATCTTTTATAGAGGTCTCTAAAGCGGTGTTATTTCAATTGCATATTACATAAATTGCATTTTAGATATTTATGAACGGTATCCATATCTAATATATCAAAAAAGTCACCCTAAATGACCCAAAAATTAACTTCGCTTTAGCATACAACCATATTTGGGCGGTCTCACCCGTAACTGCCATCCTCTTTATATATTTCCATATTTGTGGCGGTTTCACCAGTAACTATAACGATATGCCATCCTCTTTGTCATAGTTCCGTTTTTGAAAAGCCTGTCAACGAAGCGACAGGGCGGTCATTATTGCGAAATCAGATGACTTTATAGATCACATGTTCAATTTGTCGTTTTGATCTTTGTGTATAGTTCTTGTTGTATCTTGTTAGTTACAGGTTTTTTTTTTTTGGTCAATATTGTGATCGCATATGATTGTTGAAAATGAGTTACTATGATAGGCAAGATTTTTTTTTTTCATAGATATTTAAGGGACTTTGGTTAGTAGAGAAGATTATCTTTCTTTTCGCTATCGCTCGCCTTGTAGTGAAGGCTGGCTCTATCGTGACACCTAGAATTTCACTGTGGAAAGCACTATGTCTTAAGTATAATGAACATTTGATTGAAGTATAACGATAAGTGGCATAAATGATCTGCATGCTTCACAGAAGCAGCGTCAGTGCAAAAATTTTTTGTTGTCGGTTTCACAGCTATAATGACAGTCACTAAATTGTAAAAAGTTTCATGTTTGTTACAAGGGCAGTGTAAGATCCCATGTCATGGCTTTACAACTGTAGTAGAGAATGGTAAGAAGTTCAGGAGTAAGTCCATACGATTTTGGACGTGAAATAAGAAGGAAGAAATCGGTACCTTCCCTGTTAGTAAGGATATTTTAAGGCATAGAAAGAGATTATCGATCGCCTCATAAACAGGCTGGATCTATCACTCCCCACCTACCCATCGTGTCAGGGTGACGTCAAGGCTTATACGTATGTTGTTGGCCGTATAATGTGGCTTTGCGGCTGCAGTAGCAGTGCAAAACTATTAAGGATTTAAGGCTCCACGAATGCAAGAACCATTATGAATATAATTGGGCTCCGTGGGTTGTAGTAAGGATCCTATGGAGTGTATGTAGGCTCCACAACTGCAGTGGCATTGCAAGGGCCTTTATAGAATAATCTGGCTCCGCGGCTGCAGGTGCAGTGCAAGGACTATTTAAGTTACAGCAATGCAATTCCCCTTTTTCAAGATAAGTTTACTAGAGATATTACCCGAGTCAGCTGACTTGTACGAGTTGACCTGACTCGACGAGTTATACAGGTCACGAGTCAGAAATCGGGTTGACTCGGGTCAAACAGGTCATTATGTAATAGCAATACGTAATTTATATGCAACCTAATTTTAAAAATTATTATTGTATCGGTATTGCTACCCGATATAATAATACTAGTAAAGATTTCTTAACGAGTCCAATCTCTTAAGTGCAACTTTTAATTGAAGTGAAATCTAATCAATAGTAATACAGTACACTGCTTCAATCGAATTATAATTCATATACTGTATTATAGATCATAAAATAAATTGTTATGCAAACGCAATCTCTAATTATAATACAAGTTGGTTAACAGTCAACTAAAAAGTTTATTGAAGTTTTTAACTACTTTTACAAATTAAAAGTTATATCGCAAAAAAAAATATCAGACAATTTTTAAACTTAAATTTAAAAATCATAACGATTATTAATCCAGAAGGATTTATAATAATAAATAAATGCATTATTTATTTATTTTAATGCTGATTCCTAAATAAATAGCATTAAATATTTTATTAGAATTTTATTTATTATTAAATTTTTAACTTTACGATTTATATTACCAGTTGCCAATAATTTACTATTATGACTGTATGCAGTAGTTTCCTATGTTTAATATAAATAATAATTTATAAATAATTTTTAAATACACATAAATCAAACAAGTTAATAGCTTTACCTAATAATAATTTTCATTAATATTTGTATTGGCCATTTGCGCATTCTTTTTAGCAAAATAAATATGATGTTTATCCTTTTTAATACTTATCCCATACTAAAAACATGAGAAACTGGCCAAATTTTTAGTGCTGCCTTAAGAAATAGAATTGTTTTAACATATTGAGGATCAAGATTTGTTCGTTTTTCTGTAACTGTAAGACCTGCAGATGAAAAAAGTCGTTCAGATGGAACAGAAGTTGCCGGGATTGATAAATACTTGCGGGCAAGTTTTGCACAGGGTATTCATTTTTTCGTGATGCCCACCATTGGAGTATATCTGTTTGACTTGATGCTTTCTGCAATAATAAATATGAATTAAATTCACAATCAATAATATTAGTATGATCTTGTTGATTTGATTGCTCTTGAAAAGAAATAGAAAAAATATCCTCATCATTATTTATTTCACTTAAATCCATTTGATTCTTTATATCTGACCAACTATCATAATTAGGAGCTAATTCATAATATTCAGCACGAGCTTCTGAAATTGTATGACTTTTTTCATATTCTGAAAATATCAGCATATCCTTAGTTCGTGGATCAAAGAAAGTAGCAAGCCGAATTGGTCTTGTTGGCTCTGGAAATCGTTCTAAAATTGACTTATAAAGAAGATTTCTAAATTTTTGTACATCATTATTATATATTAACACACAATTAATTTTTGTTTTGATATAATTAACTGCAAACCATGCTTGCGAAAGTGTAGGATATTTTGAACCAGATAAATGTTTTGAAGCAACTTCATATGGGTGTAATAACTCAACTAGCTCAGTTACTTTTTCCCAATCGCTAGATAACAATTCTTTTTTCTCATAATGTTTTAATGTATAACTTTCATTAGCCTCGACTAATAAAGATTTATATTTATATATCACTACTTTAAGAACAGTTAAGCGTTTTAAAAGATAAAACGTAAAGTTCCAACATGTTGAAACATCTTGAATTACAAAAAGAAGCTTATCCCACTCATCCATTTGTATTTGTGCTTCTAAAAGAAACTGTTTTTGTTTCAGACTGCCACTGAAATGGGATACAAGATCCTTACATTTTTTTATTAAGTTTGTAATTTCAGGGCATCCTTTCAACGCATCATTAATAGCTAGTTGCAAGGTATGGCCAAAGCAAAAAACTTTCATTATACTATATTTTTGCTCAAGCTTTCCTAGACATGATTTAATATTCGATCCATTATCGATTGTACCACATATAGTTTTATTTCTAAGCCTATGGTTGTCTAAAATTTTGATTATTTTGTTTACAAGATGCTCTGCCGTGTGGGGATATGGAAGATATGAGATATCTCCAACCATTTCTTGTATTTGAAAGTTACAATTGATCTAATGAAATGTAAATCTGATATATGGCTCATCATTATTAGAAGTCCACATATCCGTAGTGAATGAAACATAACATATCTCATTGTCATTATATGTATACTCTCGCATATTCTGTAAAATTCTATCTTCAGCATTAATAAGCATTTCTTTTAAACGATCATTGCTTAATATATTAACTCGAGAATCAAGCCCTTCAATTACTCTTCTAAATGCATGTGATTGAAGGATTGAAAATGAATGAAGATCCTCAACAATAAGTGCAGCCACATTACTATCGAGTCTCTTTTGTATTGGATTATTAAGTGAATATTTTCCCACTTTATTGAATTTTTGTACTAGAGTTGTCTGTGTAGATTCTGGTATTACATAAAATTCACAATCAACACCATTGTTCAACTCAATTTTTACTCGATTACTTTCTACAAGAGCCCTTAAAATATGGTGTTTGTTTCTTAAGTAACGCCATAGATTTGAGGTAGTACCATCCTTTTTATATTTCACTCGTGAACAGTTTTTGTGACGACAAATCCAGAATTTCACACCATCAAATTTTGTTACTTTGTAGAAAGGTTTGACAGGACTACCATTCGTCTTTGTTGTCTTTGATTGTAAATTTTCAGTTAAAAATTGATGTTCCATTTGTAATGTTATAGAACACTGTGATAAAACTTCACTCCCATCTAAACTATCTGTGCTATCAGCTAAGATACTAGATCTAACATTCTCTATATCATTATCTTCATGTGTTAACACCATATTATCAGAACATTCTTTGCTATCCATTGATGAAATTTTCTAAATTTAATTAATTTATTTAATTATTATTTTTTTTTAAAAAAAAAAAAACAGTAAAATTGAACATTTGTACTTACTTATAAATTATGTGTTTTTCAAAGTTCAACTTATATAGTTATTAATTATGGACAGCCTTTGCAAGTATGAGATTCGTGATTAACTTTGCAGGTATGAGGTTCGTAGTTATCTTTGCAGGTATAAGATTCGTGATTGATCTTGTAGATATAAGGTTCGTGATTGATCTTTACAGGTATCAACTTATTACCAGTACCTGTTTATAATAAAGTTCATAAAACTCAACGCACGTATTGCTCAGGACGGGCTCTAACAATTATTTATAGAAGTTAGTGTATACATCTTAATAGCAACAATCAGACATTGAGGTTTGTGAAACTAATCTTGCAAGTTACTTTACAATGTATTAACTTTCTGAGAAGAGAGGAGGCACAAAAACGGAGCAGGTTCACTTGTTGAATTAAATTGACAGTAGGACTAGAGTGTTATTATTTAAAATTACTTTGCCAATTTTTTTAACGTTAACTTTAATGCTTTTTACGTTATATGGCTTACACATAGCATGCGTTGATTAGTTAATATAAGCGATCATCACATGAATAATTTTAATTGGCCAACTCGTTTGACCCAAGTTATGATTCGAATCAAAATCTAACCCAAATTTATTGACCCAAGTCACCATTTCTGACTCGGGTAATAACTCTAAAGTTTACAACCAATTTTCTTTTGACTACATGTACTTTTGGGAGCCGTTCTCACACAAGATATTGGTGTTTGTTAGATACGGTTTACATTTGTTTTGGTCAAACCCAGTGATATGTTGGTTCTGTCAAAATAGAATTGGAGTTGAATGAATTCATTAATAGGGTTAATAGAGTTTTAGCAATTGTTATCGAAATAGAATAGGGTTGAGACCAATGAACATTGGTTCTGGAATATTAGTTAATATGATGATGATGATGATTGTAATTAATATGTATGGGAGACAGTAATAATGGAGAAGTATACACCACTAAGTTTGGAATCGCTATAGGTACCCGAGTCAGTAGGAATAGCCAAGTTAGAGACTTTTTAGAAAGATTGGGTTTTGTGAAGCGATCCTCTTTTTATTCCCATATGTTTTTTCTTCCTTCAAATAAAGTCATCTGATTGAGTAATAATAATGAAAAGCCTGTCAACGAAGTGACAGGGCGATCATTATTGCGAAATCAGATGACTTTATAGATCACATGTTCAATTTGTCATTTTGATCTTTGTGTATAGTTCTTGTTGTATCTTGTTAGTTACAGGTTTTTTTTTTGGTCAATATTGTGATCGCATATGATTGTTGAAAATGAGTTACTATGATAGGCAAGATTTTTTTTTCATAGATATTTAAGGGACTTTGGTTAGTAGAGAAGATTATCTTTCTTTTCGCTATCACTTGCCTTGTAGTGAAGGCTGGCTCTATCATCCCGCCCTACCCACCCTTCTCTCAGGGTTTTATAGACTAAGGACAGTGCTATGATAGTCTTTAGGTTGGTGATTAGTGTCAGGATTATTATTGGATGCACGTGAATAGATGATCCAGGGTATAGCGTGTAGGGATCAAATTTAATATAAGATGATCGACATAATGATTAGTAATAAGGTTCTCATTTACGAAGTTAAATAGTGCAAGACAATAGGACTATATAAGAGTCTATCATTGTTAAATAGTTTATTAATTTGCAGTTTATAGGGTATCAGTGATGTAAGCACACATGATTTTAAAGAAATAGAGGTTCGATCTGGCAGTCGAATCTCAACTTCTACTATTTTGTTTTAAAGTAAAAACTACAAAAGCCTAACTAATAACGCAGTGTACCTTGTGATTGAAGGTTGGAAACGTTGAAAGTGAAGGGGCAAGGAAGTAGTACTAAAGCAAATGTAGTGAAGCCATGAGTGTATAATCAAATGAATCAAGCCATTTTGGCCAGAATTTAAAGAAATACATGCTTTAATTAATCTCCACAACACGGAAGAACCTGGGCAAGCCACCATCTCTCGTAAAGAATGAAATTGGTAACGCCATAAAGAATAAAATTGGTGATGCTGTAACAAATGAAATTAGTGACGCCGTAACGAGCGAAATTGGTGATGCCGTAATGAATGAAATTGGTGATGATGTAATGAATAAATTTTGTGAGACCATGACCAACATAATTCAAAAAGGTGTAAAAAAAAAAAAAAAAAAAAGAGAAGGACTTTGGTTAATAATACGGAAGGATAAATCAACATAAACAAAGTGAAACAGTGAAACATACCTACCAAGAACTGTATCTAACATAAGTACTAATGCTTTTACAAGCCATGAAAAAGTGTACAAATGAAGTAGTTAAAGTATATACTCAGCATTGTCATAAGTGAAGATAGTGGAATAAAAGTAGAGGTATAAGAAAAGGATGTTAACAAGATCAAAGAAATAAGGTTACAACAATGTGAAGCAAAGATCAAACTGTACCTGTATACCGTGGTGCCGAAATTAACAATATAGAGAACTTTCTCTTTGATTTCGAAGGCTATGGAAAAGCCAAGAAGTACAATGATGACACCCTATGTTTAATAGTGCATATGCACATGCCCGAAAGTATGAGAACATGGGTTAGGGACTTAATACAAACCAAAAAGACTTGGGTAGATTTAAAAAAGACCATCATTGATAAGATCAAGGCCCAAAATGAAACTGAAGTAAAAATTAATCGTTTGAGATGCCTCAGGCAGAATGAAGGAGAATCAATAAGAGAGTTTACCAATAGGTATGAAGCCTATGCTGTAGCTGTAAAAACCTAATTTAGGAATGACGAAAAGCGTGACTAGTACCTTTGGGGTTTAAAGGAACCATATAGAACAAATGTTGAAAACTGCTGCCCTAAAAATTATAACAAGGCAAAGAAAAAGGCATTAGAAATGGAGGAGTACAATAGGGACAAAACTCTCAAAGAACATAAGGACTCAAACATACCTGATGAAATACCACAACTCAGTAAATCGGATGTAGATCTAGATGCCATCATGAATGGACTTGTAGCATTAAGCATCAACCATGTGGAACGGGAAGAAAAATTAAATCGAACTGATATTGAGAACATGATTCAACATGCGGTGACAAAGACTGTGAAAGATCTAAATCGAAAACAGACCCAGCAAAGAGCCAGCAAACCTCATACATGTTACATATGTGGGCAAGAAGACCATATTGTAAAGAATTGTCTGAACCAAAGCAAGGGTGAAAGTCAGACCAAGAAGGCCATAACATTCAATAACACTGACATGCGTCTTGTAGAATTTTCAGAAAAAGGTTCCACAATTGGTGTAGAATATTTGAAGGTAGAACTATTAGATGTTGACGAGTGTGGCAATATAAGAGTGTTTGGAAAAAGAAAAAGGAAGGATAAAGTTACTGAATTATTCGAACCATTGGGAAAAAGAGGAAAAATTGAAGAACCCAAACAAGGAATCGAACAAGCCAAGTCATGTGAAAACATGATGTATATATCATTCACTGAGCTTGCTGACGAATTTGACCTGTTGAAAAGGCTGTTCGGCATGAAGATAACTCTTACCCTTGGTCAGTTGTTCAAGTGGTCGCCCAAAGCACGATCTGAATTAACAAGAGCTTTGACCTGACAAAAAAAGGAAACCATCCATAATCAAAATGTGAAAATAAGGATCGTACAAGGTAACTTGCACGACGATAAATCAAGAACAAGTGAGGTTGTGCCCATCTGGTCGGTTAAGATAAATAGAGATACTATGAAAGTCCCAATCGATTCTAGTTCCTGCATTAATCTCATGTTGAAAAGATATGCTGTAAAGAGAGGGTTGGAATAGAATCAAGTGTGTGATAGAAGATGAATAGCTGATAATAGAGTCAGTCAATTCATGAGATACATACCTGACATCGAAGTCGATATGGAAGGTATTATAGTTCAACAAGGCTTTTATGTAATGGAGATGGCTAACTTTGAGGTCATGTTGGGCATGCCATGGAATGCAAGAGCACAATGCTCATTGGGTTTTAAGGGAACTGAGTATTGGTGCACCATCTCTCCTCTACAAGATTTGCTTCCTTTGTGGTGTTGACTATGCCAAGGAGTTGGGTGAGTGAAGTACTAATTGATAATCATGTAGTTGAAATTGACAGTAACGATGATAGTGACTTCGATAATATGGATGATATTATAGCGGTGCAGAGAATGGATATAAAAGAACCTGAGGAATTGAATGAAGAAAAGCAAGCTCTAACCATTTTAAACAAAGCTAAAAACAGAGGCAAAGTGGTTTAACAACAAGTCAAACCAATCGTTTATGAAAGTTTGCAAGGATTGGCATTTAGTGGTTAGGTTAGTTATTGTGATATTAACGATGAAAAGAATGATGAGTTAATTGATGAAAAGGACATTCTTGTTGTGTCGAAATTGATGATGCTGAATAGTGCTTTGATCAATCTGGGACCCATTGTTCAAAATGAACTATAAGAAGTATTGTAATTAACTGATTAATAAATAAAGTGACTGAAGTTTTCGCCTATGAATTAAAAGACATTGGCAAAACAAACCTGGTAGAATATGAAGTTAGAACTAATGATGCAATTATACCATCAATGAGGCTCTGTCCAATTAGAATAAACAACCCTAAAACAAGAAAGATATTTGAGGACCACTTAAGGCAAATGATCAAATGTGGACTGTTGGAAAAGAGATTGGGTGAATATGCCTACCACTGCTTTCCCATGCAAAAGAAAGAAGGTGAAACCTACAAAATAAGGGCCGTGGGTAATATGAAACCTCTGAATAAGTTCATAATTAAAGACAGCTATCCCTTGCCAATAATCCAGGACATATTGGAACAAGCCACTGAACACGATTGGTATTTGTCAGTTGACGCGTTCAAAGGATACTGACAAATAGGTATCCATGAGAAAAACTGTGATAAGGTAGCTGTAGCTATGTCTCTTGGTATACTAAGATACACAGTTATATGTATGGACCTAAAGAATGCGAGCAAGACCTTTCAAAGGTTAATGGATAGGCTTCTGGATGGTAAAAGATGAAAGAATATTGCTGTGGCATACCAGAACAATATTGGAATATAGACAAATTGAAGCATGGAGGAACACTTAGAGACATTCGTCGAGTTGGCTGAGGTCTTTAAGAGTGCAGGTTTGACTTTCGCTGCGAAAAAGTGTTTCATCTTGTATAATGAGCTCGAAATGTATGGCTATATGGTTAGTAAGAATGGTATCAAAATGAATCCAAAAAGAATTGAAAAGATTTGCAGCTGGAAAACTCCTTGCAGTGTAACAGAAGTGAGGTCGTTTCATGGTGTGTTGAATTACTATTGACGATTTATCGAAAATTTTAGCAAAATCGCCAAACTACTGACCAATTTGACCAAGCAGAATACTAAGTTTCATTGGGGACCTGAAGAAAATAATGCATTTGAGTTGTTAAAGCAAAAATTAAGTGAGAAAGTTGTTTTAAAAGCATCCGATTGGCAAGCCCCAAGGATGGATAAAAGCGTATCATATGTATACTAACGCTTGTGATACTTCTGTGGAGTAGTTCTTGAGCAAGAAGATGATAAAGAATGCTTGAGGCTCGTATCGTTTGATTTCAGGAAGTTGAATGAATATGAGTTGCATTACATTGTCACTGAAAAGGATTATTTAGCGATCATGTTCGGTTGTTACGTGAATGAACGATATGTGGGTAGAACTGTATTTGATGTGTGGGTGAACCATCAGTCTCTGGAATGGTTGTTTAATAAAGTTAAGTTGAAAGGTAGACTAATGAGGTGGGTTTTGCTGCTTCAATCGTTCGAGTTTTGGGTTCGGTATAAGTCAAGCAAGAAACATGGTAATGCAGATGGAATGTCACGATATCCTGCCCCCCAAATCAATATACACAGATTGACGATGACTTCGTTGAAGGGTTGTTGTATCGTGTAGGCTTGAAAAATCAAAAAATTAATGATTTGTTTCTAGTAAAACAATACTTGCAACAATTGAGTTGGAGGCCACATGTGAATGTACGTGACCTACCTCACTTGAAAAGAAAATTGAAACATTACTGCTTAATTAGAGAAAATTTGTACCTACGATTAAGAAAGAAGCCCCGCCAAGGCGTGTTATGTTAGAAGACCGTGACAAACAAGATATCATGAAGGCATTTCATAAAGGATTAGTGAATAAAGGTGGCTATCAAGATATCAATAGTATCTTGACCTTGAAGATGAAGTATGTTTGGAGATTAGGGAATATGTATGAAAACATGAAAAAGATAGTGTCGAGCTGTGAACAGTGTCAAAGGTGTGCACCGAAATTGCCGCCTGAACCAATACATGTAACTACAACAAGTTGGATCTTTGAGAAGGTCTTCATCAATTGTATAAAGCCTTTGCCCCCTACTGTGGCGAAGCATGAGCACATAGTGTTTGCAATTGAGGACTTGATCAGCTATGTTGAAGAAAGGGCCCTAGTCAAAAAGAATGCTAAAAAAATAGCCCAATTTATTTGAGAAGATATAATCTTGTGCCATGGATGCTTTACCGCTCTAGTATCAGATAGAGAGACCGAATTTAAAAATATGATAATAGAAGAACTGTTGTTGCATTTGAATGTGGATCAATATTTTGTTGCTAGTTACTATCCTGAGGTGAATAGTCGCGCAGAGTGTGTGGTCCAAAAGTTCACTAGAATTATTTGTAAGTTGTGTACAGAATGACAAAATCAGTGGCATGAATATGTATGAAGTATAATTTGGGCTATAAACACAATCGTTGGTGACCTGGGGTACTCCCTTTTTGTCTAGTTTATGGAAGGAACGCAATAATGCCAATCGAATTGGTGATAGAAAGTTATCATACATATGTGTTGAGAAGCCAATAGATGATCGATGAGTTACTTGAATACCAAACCCTACAAATAAAAGGTTTGGTTGGTGATCTGAAGAATGTGCAAACAAATCGTGATGAATTGAAATAGCGGTGGAAAGAGTTTCATGATTGATGGGCTTGGGAAAGAGAACCAATTGATATCAGTGACCTGGTATTGGTTTATTATTCGACCTTGGATACGTGTTCTAGGAAATTGGACTACTGATGGATTGGTCTCTATAGGGTAACGGAAGTTGGAGAATTTGGTCAATTTTACCTTGAAGAAGTCGATGGATCAAAGTTGAAAGACCCAATCACAAGAAATCGAGTAAAGAAATTGAAATTAGATGGTTACGAACCTGACTATGAGGATGGAATAGTTGAAGAACGAATGAGTCAAGTGTATGAAGAACAATTGGATGACAAAGAATATATTTCTTCAGAAGACAATCTATCTGACTTTCTGCGTGATTAAAACAAAAAAAAAAAAAAAAAAAAAAAAAAAAAGTAATTAACAGTTAGTACAATTAGTATAAGTGTTGGTAATGCATAATGATTGGGTTTTGTGTTGGTGTTTAATGGTAGATATGAAAGTTTGTAATGTTGGAAATTGGATTACATGGGTCGAACTTTGGGACGAAGTCCCGGGGGGTCTAGCTCATGTCGGGATTATTATTGGATGCACGTAGATAGATGATCCGGGGTATAACATGCAGGGATCAAATTCAATATGAGATGATCGACGTAATAATTAGTAATAAGGTTCTCATTTACGAAGTTAAATAGTGCAAGACAATAGGACTATATAAGAGTCTATCATTGTTAAATAGTTTATTAGTCATACTAATTTGTAGTTTATAGGGTATCAGTGATGTAAGCACACATGATTTTAAAGAAATAGAAGTTCGATCTGGCAGTCGAATCTCAACTTCTACTATTTTGTTCTAAAGTAAAAACTACAAAAGCCTAACTAATAACGCAGTGTACCTTGTGATTGAAGGTTGGAGACGCTGCAAAGTGAAGGGGCAAGGAGGTAGTACTAAAGCAAACGTAGTGAAGCCACGAGTGTATAATCAAATGAATCAAGCCATTTGGGCCAGAATTTAGAGAAATACACGCTTTAATTAATCCCCACGACAATTAGGCTCTGTGGATAATTGAGCTATACAAGATCTCATTATTGGCAATTAAACTTTGTGTGACGATAGTGCAAGAAGAAGTGCATGGGAAGCTTTCATTATTAGAGTCATAGATTTTAGTTCTATCCTCTTTTGAACTTTTTCTGATGGGCTTTAGCCGAACTTTCGCTAATGGATTTTCCTTTGATGACTTTCGTTGAAAAATTTTAGTTGGAAAGCTTTTGCTGGAGGCTTTTATTTGAACTTTCATTGGTGTTTTTTGTTGGTGAACTTTTATTTGCGGCTTTTGTTGTAGACTTTGTTATAGATTTTTTACTGGTGAATTTTGTTGGTAGATTTTTCTGATGAGCTTTTATTTGTAGTCTTTTGTTTGTGGCCTTTTGCCGTTGGACTTTACTGGGGGACTTTCAATGTTGAACTTTCGCTGTGTAAGGACCTCATGTTGTGATCAGGCCTGCAGCAGCAATAGCAGTAGAAGGTCCTCATGTTGTGATTATGACCAACAGCTACAATAATAGTGCAAGTATCTCATATTTGATGATTAGACTCTGCAGCTGCAGTAGCAGTGCAAGAATCTCATTTGTAGTTAAGTTCTGCAGCTGCGATAGCAGTGCAAGGATCTTATATTGTAATTTGGCGCTATGACTACATTAGTATTGTAAAGACCTTGTATTATGTTTAGACTCCACTGCTACGATAGCAGTACAAGAACCTCATATTGTGATTAGGCTCCGCAGCTGTGCAAGGACCTCATATTGTAATTTGGCTTCACGCCTATATTTGTAGTAAAGACCCTCATATAATGTTTAGGCGTTTGCAGCGCAAGACCTCATTTTGTAGTTAGGCTCTGCAGCAACGATAGCAGTGCGAGAACCTCATTTTGTAGTTAGGCTTCGCGGCTGTGATAACAGTGCAAGAACCTCATGTTGTGATTGGGCTCCGCATCTGTGATAGCAGTACAAGGACCTCATATTGTAATTAGGCTCCACACCTATATTTGTAATGAAGTATATTATATTTTGTTTAGGCTCTGCGGCTGTGATAGCAGTGCAAGGACCTTATGTTTTGATTAAACTCCACGACTATGCTAGCAGTGCAAGGACCTCATATAGTGATTAGGCTCTGCGGCTGCGATAGCAGTGCAAGGACCTCATGTTGTAATTAGCCTCTGCTGCTGCGATAGCAGTACAAGGACCTCATTTTGTGATTAGACTCCGCATCGGCGATAGCAGTGCAAGGACCTTATATTGTAATTAGGCTCTACGCCTACATTTGTAATGAAGGATCTCATATTATGTTTAGGCTCTGCGACTGTAATAGCAGTGCAAGAATCTTATGCTGTGATTATGCTCTGCAACTGCAATAAAGGTTCTCATGTTATGATTAGGCTCTGCGGCTGTGATAGCAGTGCAAGAGCCTTATGTTGTGATTAAGCTCTGCAACTGCAATAGCAGTGCAAAGACCTCATGTAGTGATTAGGCTTTGCTGCTGCGATAGCAGACAAGGACCTCATTTTGTGATTAGACTCCGCATCGGCGATAGCAGTGCAAGGACCTTATATTGTTATTAGGCTCCACGCCTACATTTGTAATGAAGGATCTCATATTATGTTTAGGCTCTGCGACTGCAATAGCAGTGCAAGAATCTTATGTTGTGATTAAGCTCTACGACAGCAATAGCAGTACAAGGACCTCATATAGTGATTGGCACAGGCTCTGCGGCTGCGATAGCAGTGCAAGGACCTCATGTTGTGATTAGGCTGTGGCTGCGATAGCAGTGCACGGACCTCATGTTGTAATTAGGGTGAAATCAGTGCAAGGTCTTCATGTTTGTAGTTAGGTTCCGTGGCTGCGATAGCAGTGCAAGGACCTCATGTTATGATTAGACTCCACGGCTGCGATGGCAGTGCAAGGACCTCATGTTGTAATTTGGCTCCGCGGCTGCGACAGCAGTGCAGTGCAAGGACCTCATGTTGTAATTAGGCTCCGTGGCTGCGATAGCAGTACAAGGACCTCATTTTGTAGTTATGCTCCGCGGCTGCAATAGCAGTGCAAGGACATGAGTAAGTGACACCACTTAAATTACTGCATAACGCTAATTAACCGATTCTCGTTGCAGCTATGTATTTCTGCTTGGCTACATTCCTCTATTTGAAAATGCAATTGATTATAAGGAATATGTCTTTAGGCTCTAGATATTCTAATATAGATGATATAGTGCTTGTAATCGGTAGCGAACGGAATCCCCATATGTTTTTTCTTCGTTCAAATAAAGTCATCTGATTGAGTAATAATAATGGTACTGTACGTCGCGACGATCACATTGAAAGACATAAATGAACTTATGCAATGCCATATATACACATCGTTAATAAATTTGATAAGTCAAAATGTCGATTATAAAACTGCAAGAAAAAAACGATAATAAATTAGATGCTACTGAAATATCTAGCGAAGTTAACCAATCGTATTTAGAAGATAAGTCACAAGATTTTCTTAATGAAATTATTAAAGAAACGTATAATCTAATTAATGAAGAAGCTTTAAAAGGCAAAAGTTTACGTTCAGGTATTGATGCATTAGAACAATTTCTAGTAAAAAAAGGCATGATCCAGATAATATTATTAAATATTGCTTAGATAATCAAACAGATCCTATGGTTCAATTCATTCTTGCGACTTGTTATCGTTATGGCAAATGGGTTGAAAAGGATGAACCTAAAGCATTCGTTCATTATCAAAAATCTGCAGAGATAGGAGACTCTGCTGGAATAAGGGATATTGTTGTCTAAAAGGAATTGTGGTTAAAAAGAATGAACATATGGCATTCATTTATTTTCAAAAATCTACAAAGATTGGATACGCTGAAGCAATAAATGATGTTGGATATTGTTACAGCCAGGGAATTGGAATTGAAATGGATAAACATAAGGCATTTATTTATTATCAAAAAGCTGCAGAGATGGGGGACGCTAGTGGAATATATAATGTTGGAGTTTATTACGAAAATGGATATGTCGTTGAAAAGGATGAACAAAAGGCTTTTGAATATTATTTAAAAAGTGCAGAATATGGACATTGTTGTGGAATGCATCAAGTTGGTTGGTGTTATCAGGAAGGAATTGGCGTAGAAAAGGATAAAGACTTGGCATTTGAATGGTATTTAAAATCTGCTATTGCTGAACATGACTGTAATATCCATAACAACTATTTCCGTTGGATAAAATACGATAACTTTAGAAATATTGAAGAAATAGGTAAAGGTGGGTTTTCCGTAGTATATAAACATCATATGGAATATATGAAGATGTTGCAATCAAGGTAATAAAAGATTCGCATAAAAATAAACAACTCTTTTTAAACGAGGTATTTTGTTTTTTATTTATCCCTATAAAAAATTTTTACCCGAATATTTCCATTATTTCTCTGTAGCCTCCATGAAAATGATACATTTACAGATATCCGTGTTAGGAAGATTAGAGAGTGGAATCGGTGAATAATTATTCGAGCATCGAAATAAACATCATTCACTGAGTTTTAATCTCATTCAATCATCGAGCATCAGTCAAATTAAAATTTTAATTATAAGTTTTGATATTGATAAGTTTTTGAATAACAATTTCATAAATTTTGTTTAATAAATTTTTTAAATTTATATTTAAAACTCAATTGGACCCAAAATGCAAAAGATTACATGTTTTATCGACTGATGAGCGAAATCAAGTTGAAGAAACTTTACGTGCTATGTATGCAAATTTAAGGAGCGGCAGTATTTATCTAAGCAAGTTACTTCATTGACACCCACATTAGTTTCTGTGACTAATAGAAATAAAAACAAGCTTACTGTAAAGGGTTCATTAATCTGTTTTTTCATCAAGCTCACAAAACCAAGATAATAATGAAGTTACAAATTATCTTGCTCTTCCTTAGCTTGATTTCGAGTGATATGATTGTCTTTACAAAAATGGCGATTTGAAGTGAAACGGCCTGAAAATTTCTTGCAATTCCTGTAACAAGCACAGTACAATTTGTTTTTGTAATGTCGCAAATTATAAGTCATGTACAGTAAATTGTAATTAAGTAGAGATAATGGTGCAATTAATAAATTTCATGTTATATTAAATTCTTTTATGTATTTTTTAAAAACTCAATGAACATTCAAACATCAGTCAAAATTTTTTACCGATGCTTGAAAATTTAGAGTTTGTGACCAATCAATGCTCAAAACTCATCGATTCCAATCTCTAAGGATGATGACAATTTCTATGATTTAAGGTTATAAATTCCATGGAAATGAAACATTTATGGAAATAACATGGAATAATAAACACAGATCAACATTTTTTATAGGGTATACGTAAAGTTATATTGTTTATGAATTTTTTTTTTTTTTTTTTTTTTTAAGGTGAGGTTTTGCCTTTATCTTTATTAATATTTTGTATTGAGAATCCACTA